TGATAGGTGAATGCTTATGCGAGTCTCTTTGAGAGTTTCAGAATCTCCCAAATTGATTGCCTCGGTTTTGTCCAGGTTGGACTTAGGTTTGTTCTCGAAATTCTCAACTGCTCTGATAACTTCCTCAGGTATCTCATCCACTTCTTCTGAGTCACTATCCTTATATTGTGTTGTCTCATTACATGTCACAGTCATCGGTTCATCAGGAAAAGTAGTAATAATGGTGTAGAGAAAAATGTAAATGATTATAATAAATACTAAATAACAATGCATTAATTAAATTTTGAAAACATCCAAAACAAGTACGGCTCGATGACTCGAGCAATTATTTCAAAACAAAATGCGCTTTAAAACAAAAAAGAAATATCTTAAATGCCTAAAATGGTTATTAAAACAGGTTAGGCTAATTGCCAAGCTACCCAGGAACTCGACGGGCCCGGGATGGTGCAGCGGTAGATTCTTGAGAATGGTTCCCTTCTCTACGGTCTGAATGGTAAGGCCTTCTTCCTCCTCCTCCTCAACTATTGCACTGCAATCCATTTTATCGCTTGTATTATCCATTTTGGTTTTTTCCTTTGCCTTTAGGATCATTCGGAGGAGGAGGAGGTGGAGGACCTCTTGATCAGGTATGGTATGCTGGTGATGCCAATATGTGCGAACCAACCTTAGGGAATGTGAATAATCAAAATAAGGAAAAATGCAAAAAGGTAAACTAGTCAGTAAGGATTCTGAAAAGCATTTGCAGTATTTAAACACGTATTGCGGGACTATAAATTGACATCCTAATTTGGGAGAACCTCGTAATGCCCGAGGTAGGCCAAGCGACAAATAGATTTGGAGAGATTTAATGCCTCATTTCATTAATGTAATAAATATGACGAACCTAAAAACGACAATAAATAAATGAGTTACTAATGACATATGCTTTATTACATCCCGAAATGACTTAAAATAGATAAAACTAATCTACTTGGTCCCGGAGGGACCTTCCCCATATTTGACCTTCTTGGCTCCATCAATCAGATTCCCCAGGTCGTGCATGTCCAGCAGCAGGTATGCCTTGGTATGTGTCCTCCCTCGTTGCCTTCCGCATTCTGACAATTTTCGGACCCTTTTCCGTATCTTCCCTTCCAGTTCCATTAGACCCTGCTCAAAATACTCCAGCCTTTTTGTCAATTTTGTAGCCATCTCCTTCCACTCATTAATTGATTCCATGTCGAATTTGTGTTGCTCCAGATGCTTGGCTTCGAATTCAAGGACCCTCTTGCGTAGCCTCTCATACTTCCCTTGTTCTTCAACAACTTCATCTATGACCCTGTTTCCTTGACCAACCCTTGGCTCGAATATTCCTGCTATATTATTGTCTAACTATGAGGGGTACAAGTACACATGACCGGCGTGATACCGATCTGGTGTCAATGGTGTCATTTTCCACGATAATCTTCAAGTGCCACATGTGGTGGGCCTCACATTTGTATGGAATGGTGTCACCCTGGAAATCGGCTCTGTAATGACTCATTTTGGAGATTTATGGTATGACTTATTTCCTACCAGCTTGTCTCATAACCCTGATAGGAACAGAGGGATATATTCCCTTTAATCCAATCAGCACTAAATGCGGAACGTCCCTGGATCTGATGATGAATTCATCGGTAGGGAACCACTCGAACATTCATTGAACAAGGTCCTCGGTCAAATTGTTGAAAAATTGTGCCCATTCTGTAGCGTTCTCTAGTTGTGCAAATCTGTCTGGGATAAAGGTCATTCTTTTAGGATGGTGGAAAGCGATGTGATCGTTCCATGGTCTCATTGGAAACTCTTGGCGGTACTGACCCCTCTGAAGATGCTCTAACAACCAAATCTATAGTTGCAAGTTACAACCCTCGAAGTATTTGAACCCTTTCTTGCAACGATCTAGAGCCCGGTATATGTCCGCTACAATCATCGGGACAATAGTATAGGTTTGCCCCTCAATTCCCCCCATTAAAGCTTTGGTTACCATGGCCAACCTGGTGTGAATTCTGTCTCTTTGTCTTGGGAACACTATCATGCCCAGAAAGCAGACGATGAATACAAAAACCCTGCGGTGAGTCCAACCTACGGAGGTGATGGAGAATTCATCATGAAAGATACGGTAAGATTTGTTGTGTCCGTATCGTTCATAGAGGAAGTCAAAGGGTATGTAAGACTTCTTCAGGCACTCCAAGTCCTCATTTTTTCTCAGGCCCATCATTTTCAGAAACCCCCTAGTATTGCAGTTTTCTAATACTAGTGAAACCGGGACTATCCCATGGTAATCCAGCGAACCCTCCGATTTCTTCCAGGAGATGAGTCATTTCTATGCTACCAAAATGGAACAAAGATTTTTCTCCGTCCCAAAATATAGTAGCAGCTTCGATCAGCAAGTTGTTTGGTTGAATGTCCAATAAGGAAGGTAGATTTCCAAGAACCCTTTTCACGTGGTTTTTATCGCTTGGCGAAAGATTTTTCCACCAGTCCAACAACAGCGGTGCTATGATTCGGACCATGCCGAACCTGGGGACTTCGTGCCTCATTTTCTGCAAAATAAACATAGTTAGACCCTTTTCCCCTCCGGATTTGACTACTTATACATTAATGATTAACATCTTGGCATTTTATCTCTCCAAATAATGCACATATCATGATTGCATCCATTGGGATTATGGAAATCCCGGTGGACGTTGGACAAGGCTTTCTTAGAGGGTTATTATGTGGATAGCATATTAACCCGGCTAGGTTTGACCATGATGCATGTACAACTAATCAGAGTAAGGTTTCTATAGAGGTCTAGACTGGTACCCTCAAGTGGACAACTTGAGGGGGAAAGGCACAGAACCGTCGACTGCACCGCTGATCGTCTAGTTTTACCGCAAATAAGCCTTTTCGATTTAAAGGGTGATATATAGGAAGGGCACAAACACTCATCAAGTGTTGCTATATGATTGATTACGCATGAGTGGAATATGATGTTGAGCATGATTTATGCAATAACAAATAGCATGTTGTCATGTATTTGCACGTTAAAAATGATAAATATGGTATTTAACAATTGAAATACGTTTAAGAAAGAAAACAAGGAGACGAGTCAGTTTCTGTAGTAAAGGAAATCATAAATACTTGAAAATAGGCAATTGAATCCAGATAAAGGGGAAAGGGAAAGGGTGCGCACATATTAACAAAATAAAGCATGCTTAAGACTAATTCACAAAAAGCAAGTTTGTTATGGTAAGAGCCTAATTATCCCCAGTAGAGTCGCCTTGCTGTTGCGCCCTCTTTTTCTCGCGAAATCGGGTTTCGACATTTTCGGGACAACTCCTTTTCTTTTGGGATTGGGTAAGGGATTTGAAGAGTCACCACCTAACAGATTAAGGTGCGTTAGGGCACCTAGAACAATTAACTCATATAACAAGTTATGTCACCGGAGATCGGGTAAGGGTTCGAAATTACCTTGAGGGGAAGGTGTTAGGTACCCCTCGAGGTCCACAACGGTGGGTCCCGGCCGAACTTAAATTAAGCGAATTAGTCTTATGGAACAATTAAACAATTCAGAAAAATTATTTTAAAGCGGGCATTAAAGGGGTCCTAGGTTTTTTAGCCTATAGGATCATTTTCATCCAATACTTGGTAACTTTCCCCTAATAGGGGTGCTACACATAGCATTAGCGCACAGATCATCATTTCCTTTACTACCCAATTACTATCTTTCAGTTGTTACCTAAGCGTTCTAGTAGCTTCTAATGCGTACCTTATGCGTGCACTACCCGTCCCTTACCTACGATCCTGGAGGTGTTTAGGACTTCTATTTTGGATGGATCTAGACTTACCTACGTTGCTTAAAAATGAGAAAGCTAAGCGACAAATAAAATTCAGATAGGACTGTCACATAAAGAGCAATTAAGGGGGCTCATGTTAACCTCCACAAATAGCCAAACAATGCACGCAATTCAAACAAACAGAATTTTATAGTTTAGGATCCTATAGGCAGGATATCTAGATGAGCATGGACAAAATATATAATAGCTTTATTAAGGCTAGCAGCGATTCCTATCATTTTGCCTACTGATTTGTTAATACTCTGTATCTAGGCACGTTTTCAAACAACAAGAAATCATAATTTTAGTCCCAGACTTCTTTAATTACCCTATTAGTTTGCCTAAGTGATAACCGGGCAGAATCCTATAGACATGGTATCTAAACTGTTAATTAGAGACTATAGTTTATAAACGGGTCACTGATTTCAATAGGCAGATTTTATCTCTTTAGATCCTAAAGGCATGCTTTCTAATTGCTATATATATTTGAACTCCTATAGGCAAGATCTCTAAGTGTTGACTTGATTTGAGTTTCTATTAGCAGGATCCCTGAGTTTACAAACTGATTTTACCCTATAGGTATGATATCTATTGGGTTAAATCCTATAGACATGATTTCTAGGTTTGAAAACTGATTCCTTTATTTCCTTTAGGCATGGTATCTAACTGATTTTTAGTTCCTATAGGCATGATATCTAACTGATTTTTAGTTTCTATAGGCATGATATCTATTAAACGCACGTGGGCAGAATTCTTTAAGCACATTACCAGGAAAATCATTATTCAAACAGATAGGATCCTATAGACATGGTTACTAATGCATGTAAAAATGCCCATGGATCCTATGGACATGATTTCTAATGCAAGAGTCTATGAACAGGATTTTTAGCATGCGATTTAAGTACAGAACAAAGCAATCAGATAGTCCTATATACATGATCTCTAAAAAAGTAGTAACACTCACACGATCGCCAATAAACCTATAGGCTGGATTTCTACCCAAGTTCCAAACAAAGATATAGAACCCCCCCCCCCCCAGCTTTTACTAACAACCCAAATCTGTTTATTACAGAAATTATTATAGCCCAGAATGAATAAACTCTATAACAACATCTATTACATTATAGAAAGCCTTAGTAGGCCCAATATAAACTTGAGAGCAGACCTTCAACACAACAGTCTTGAAATAGTAGTAGAGGTCCACAACACATTGAGCCAGGCCTCCAGTGTGTAGTTCCCAAAGAGCCTCAAGGACCCTGGGAAATGCTCACACTGGATCTACACATTCAACACAGAATTCATAAAGGATTGGAAAACAAGATCCAATGTGTCAGAGTTCAAAGGAGTCTCAGGGCCCCTAGGTAGTGCTCACACTGGAGGCGGTAGGAACCTAGATAGCTAAGAGTAGAAGTTTGAAAAATAGTATATATATAAGGGGTAGGGGGATAGCTTTAGAAAACAGTTTGATTTTTAGGAACAAACAGGTTCAATTTACAAGACTACAAACAGGACAGAATCCATAGTTATCATATTGGTATTAGTTCAGACATGTATGATATGATAGTAGTTAAAGCAATCACAACAACGGCAGGGGTACTTGAATTACAGACAAAACTGATCACACATTGTTGGCAATACCTAAAACCTGTTCTAAATAGAGAGCATACAACTGAATCTCTCAAGGTTTCAAATTACTAAAGATTACTTAGTTTATTAATTATCACTAGGTGAGACCATATAGGCATGTATTGAACAGAAACATGCTGAAATCTGAAATAACTAACCAAACAAACACATAGTACAGGGTAGCAGGGACTAAAGCATACTAGTCTACGAAAGAAGTAAACAAAAATCATGGCCCGGACATGCTAAGGTGAACTAACCACACAAGCATATAGGACAGAGTAGATTAATAGGAATTAAGGCATACTAGTTAGGAAGAAAGCAAACAGGAAACATATGGCAAACAGAAGCATATCGAGGTTTGAAGTGAATTAATCATATAATCACATGGAACAGAACAAGATAACAAGAACTAAGGTCTGTGATAAAACTGATTACATAAACATATAGAATAGAACAAGATAACAGGAGTTACCACATACCAGTAGAGGAGAAAGTAAATATGCAGAAATAGGTAGATTCCAGAATAACTTGGCCTTGGCTTTCAGCCGGCCAAATAATAGCCACTTAGCATAGAAGTCAGAACAAGAGCAAGAGAATGCTTAAGTTTTATAGTGAGAATAGGAGAGTTCGAGTGTTTTCTAAAAGGGAAAAGGGGAAGGGTTTTATAGCATACAATAGAGCATAATACATAAGGTAATGAACTAATCACACGCAAATAAGGTATAAAAAATCAATAAACAATCAGTTTAGGTCGGCATAGATCAATTAATAGTCATAAAATCAGGCTAGCATCAGTTAATAGACTCAATCAGTAGTCAAATAAGGTAAGGAATAATTCCAGAATCAATTAGAAGTCGACTTTAATAACTAGAGCATATAATCAGGCCAGTAAAGTTAAGTCAAAGGGAAGTAGCATAAATTATTAATCAGATATTGGTCCACATAAGGTAAGAACAGGTAAATCGAACAAAATAGGAAAGTATTTGTATCGTATAGAAAAGGAAAGATTAGAGCTCAGTAAAGGGTTTCAAAACCCTAATTTTGGGTAAACTGTAAAGTGAGCAGAGAAACAAAAGTGAAATAATCACACTGTGCATAATGAACATAGACAAGAGGTTTATTCGAAAAGCACAAAGAATCGAATTAGAGAAGATCCGAAACCCTAATTTTAAGGAAGAATAAATTATTTTAAAGAAACAACTATAGGAATAGCTTAGATACACCTAGGTACACGAAACATTAAAGAAAAAATACTCAAAATTAAGAAACCTTGAAAGATGTGAAAAGGTCTGGTTCCTAATTTAGGGTAAGTAAAATTGAGCGGAAAACCTTTTAATGAAATCATGAAAAGAAACACAGGTAGTCATGCAGAAACATAGATATGATTTTTTACGAAAATAAGTACCAAATCTTTGCAGATTTCAAAGGATCTAAACCCTAGCTTTAGGGTAAAATAAGGAATAAGCAAAAATCTCAAAGATTCAAACCATAAGGAGACGGAGAAAGAACATAGATGGAAAGAGATGAAGATTCGAACCCGATTTTGTTCAAAACAAGAGAGATCCACTTGCCATGCAAGTGATTAGGTAACACCATAATCGGTTAGCCATTAGAGAAAGGGAGCCGGATAAGGCAAGAAATCACCAGATGATTCCATATCCGGTCGAGAATCAAAGGGATTTGGAGGGGATTTTGGGTGACGGCGCTTAAGGTTTGAGAGTGAGAAGGGGAGATTGAGAGCATTCAGGGGCGACGGGTTTGGGGTTGTGAGGGATTAGGGTTTGGTTTGTTTAAGTTAAAAGGGGCGGATGTATTGTGAGCCGTTGATCTTTTGAGATCAACGGCTAGGATTAGATTATGGCTGGGGCGGGTTAATTTGGACGGGTTTGGGTCTGGGTTGGATGGGTATGGGTGTTAGACTAGTTAATGTATTGGGCTGGGGTAATTAGGTTAGGCTAGGTCCGAAATTGAGTATTTTTTTAGGGGCTAGATTTTAAATACCCAATTAAATTATTAAAATAGTTTATAAAAATAATTAATAAATAAATTAAAATGTCATTTGTGCATGAAAATGATATAAATAATTACTTAACATTATAAATATATAAAAAGTTATTTTCTATATAGATAATATGATTATGCATATATATGGGCTATTATTGCAAAATGTGCAATTCTAGCCTAAAAAATGCAAATGTAATTATAAAAAATGCAATTAAATATTCAAGCACTATTTGGGCATAAATGATAAATTTAGATGACTAAACCATCACAAAAAAAAAATAATATGAGAGATAATTATTGGATATTTGTATAATAAAAATACAAAAATAAATTGGTTTATAGCCTTTTAAAATTATAGAAATACTCGTGCATGGTTGTAAATGCATGTGCACTATTTTGAAGATATACATGCACATTTAAAAATATATGAGGAAAAAATTGGGTATCAACACCTACTCCAATCCAAACATAAAGAACTTGAAAACATTCAATGCGCCAACTTTCAATATTAAGCGCCAAAATGCTCCCGTGTCATCCGAAACCCGATCTGAACATACGCCCAAGTCCAAAATCATCATGCAAACATATTGGGACCGTCAAATCCCGATTCTGAGGTCGTTTACTCAAAATGTTGACTCAAGTCAATCTTAACCATTATAAGTTACTATTAAGGAACTAAGTGTTCTGATATCAACTGGAACCCTTCCAATCCCGAACTAACCATCTCCGCATATCATAAAACATTAACAACACATACGGGGAATTTTAATTAGGAGAATGGGGATCTAGAAAGCGAAACGACCGATCGGGTTGTTACATCTTTTTTTAGTTTTACATAAATTGTAGAATCTTCTTGACAAAAGGGAAAGATACTAGTACTGTGGTAAGAGGTACCAATATATTTTTCAAATCTAGGTGAGAAAATACAATTTAAATATCTATTTATTTTATGTTATATTCACGATTATATTTTGTAACAAAATTATAAAAGTATTATTCTATTTATAATTTTAATAAAAATATATTATAATTTATAATAAGGTATAAAATCATTTAAATTATAAATAAAATACCTAGTAAAAGAATATCATATATATTAAAAAAGACTCCTATTATATAAAGGAGAAAATAAAAATAGCAAGGACAAATAGATATTTGATAGGATAAAGGGGGAATTTTTCAATAATTTATATAGAATAGAAGAAGCAAATAAATGTGATGATGCCAAGTGTCACAATAAAAATTCAACTAGTGTCAAAATTAGGACTAAATTACTTAGTGTCACTGTCGATGCCCCCTTTTTCTAAAGGAGAAATTGGGTTTACGACATTTGAGAATAATTATTGGATTTTGTACTACTAATAAATTGATTTTAAAATCTTAAAAATTAGGAAAAAATACCAAGACTCTTGGGTATGCTTATATATGCATACACATGCTATTTTGGAGGTATTTTGAGTATATAAAAAATACATAGGGAAAAATTGGGTGTCAACAGTCACACCTCCTTTTTACTTACACCCCCGGAAGGGGTATAATAAAGGGAGTTTTTCCAATTAAAGGACAATCGAAACAGGACTTATCTTTTAAAAATTCAGAGTCGCCACTTGGGAGATTTATGGTTCCCAAGTCACCGGTTTGAATCCCGAATCGAGGAAAAGAATGACTCTGTTTAACAGTCTGCGAACCAGAATCCGGGTAAGGAATTCTGTTAACCCGGGAGAAGGTGTTAGGCATTCCCGAGTTCCGTGGTTCTAGCACGGTCGCTCAACTGTTATAATTGGCCTAATTATCTGATTTTAAAAACATTTTGAACCTATGTGCGATTTTAACTTTTCGCCGCTTTTATTTAATTAATTAAAGGAAAATTGCAACGTCATTTAAAATTTGTTTCGAACCGCGTCACATAAATGCACCCGCAATCCATAACACTTCCTATCTAATGTTGAGATTTGGATTTGGGTCACATAAATGTGCACCCGAGTTTAGTAAGGTAATATTATTAAAATAACGCGCCTAAAACAACTACGCGTTTTTAACTTTGCGAGGGCCATGGAAATTTGCTAAACGGCGCGCCTCAGATCTAAGTATTTTTAAAATAAAGGATTAAATGAGGGACACGCATTTGAGATTTTATTTGGCGCGGCGCACCTCAATTCCATTTTAAAAGGAGTATCAAACTAAAGCTCGGAGGGCCATAAACTACTTGTGCTATCTCGTACGGCATACCTCCATTTACCAAGACTAAAATCTAACTATGATCAAGAGAACCATGACTAATTAACAAGGCGCGACTCACAAACTACAAAGATCTTGCCCGAGAAAGTAACGGAGCCGAAGGGAAATTGACGGCATCTGAACTAGTAACTAAATGAGGCATTGGGTAAATCAAATCCAAAATTGGCTGGGCTTCGAGGAAAGCCCAATCGGAGAGCCTGGTTCTTCATGCAGCACGCTCAGGTCAATCGTCGCTTGGGTCCAAGATCGAACCCATGCGACAGCAATACCAGCAAGATTCGGATTTCATATTCACGAAACACGAACTACTGGGAGCATTTAATACAATAAATTAAGATAATCATTTGATTGACCATTTTCAGGAATGATTATGGGGATATTTCACTCATAGATTAAACTGATACAACCAGTCTCGACAAACACATACTCGAACTCCTTTTTCATACTCTGAATTTTGTTTCAAACGATCTCCAATTTAAAAAAGAACCGGGCATTGTTGTTACCGGGCGCTTCTTGGTACCAGGCCTGACAAAGGATCGGGAGAGACATGGGACAGGCTTTGGAAGAAACCATGCCCTCTGTTTCAACTTTCTAGCTCGCCTTATGTCTGCAGTTATAGGCTTGAACCCCAAACCAAAGGTGTCCAAGTTTTTGGGGAGAGACACCGGCTGTACGATACCTTGCAGAGACGCACCCAAACCCTTGCCAGGTACAAAACCATTCTTCAACATTTCGGAGGCTACCATGACTGATGCGGCTGCCACTTTCGGAACTGGAACACATTCCCCTTCTGGGATATTCTCAACTGACACTGCACCAAAAACCTGATAGACCCACGGCCCCTTGTCGTCTTCAACTTCGATGAAAGGTATAATGGAATCATTCTGGGCACACAAACCGTCCTCTCCGTGTACCACAATTTCCTGTCTGTCCCATTCAAATTTGACCATCTGGTGCAGGGTAGACAGCACTGCCTTGGCGGCATGAATCCAGGGTCGGCCTAACAAAAGATTGTAAGAAACTGCCACATTGAGCACCTGGAATTCCATAGTAAATTCAACTGGCCCAATTGTCAGCTCCGGCACTATGTCCCTGACTGAATCTTTCCCTCCACCGTCGAACCCTCGAACGCAAATACTGTGCTTGTGAATTCTTTCATTGTCCACTTTCAATTTGTCCAGGGTGGAGAGAGGGCAAATGTTGGTGCTGGAACCATTATCAATCAATACCCGGGTAACGACGGAATCTTCGCACTTCACCGTAAGATAAAGGGCTCTATTATGCTCAGTACCCTCCATGGGCAATTCATCATCAAAAAAGGTGACTCTGTTTACCTCAAAAATCTTGTTTGCTATCTTTTCCAGATCGTTTACAGAGATCTTGTCAGGGACGTGGGCCTCGTTCAAGATTTTCATCAACGCCCGGCGGTGCTCGTCCGAATGGATTAACAATGAGAGAACTGAAATTAGGGCAGGGGTCTTCCACAACTGCTCTACAATAGAATAGTCCTGCATTTTCATCTTCTTCAAGAACTCCTCTGCCTCTTCTTCGGTCACAGCTTTCTTCACTAACACTGGGTTATCTTTGGAGGTTTTGGCTTTTCTTAACTCCTCGGGGGCAAAGCATCTCCCCGAGCGAGTCAACCCATGGGTCTCACAAACTTCTTCTTTAACCTCTTTCCCTTTGTAAGTCACTGTCATTCGGCCATAATTCCAAGGGACGGCCTTGCTGTTGACTATTGGTAGCTGAGTCACTGGTTTGCTAATCACGGGCTCTTTGCGAGCACCTTCCACTACTACGACAGACTTGTTCACTGCCCCTGGTACCACCACTTTTACTTTTTCTTGTTTCACTGCAACCCCGCTTGAAGACTCCTTCTGAACTACCACAACTGGTTTACTGTCTGTCTCTTTCAACTTGATCAATGACTTCCCACTTGTTGACTTGTCACTCGTCCTGACTTCACAGGACCTGAACATCATTACAGTCTGTGATGGCTTCTTAGGCTCTCCTGCTTTATGCACTATCTCAATCATATTGGTCTCATGATGGGCTGACAACGGATTCTGGTTGATATTAGGCACTTCCGGGTCTTGGACCTCGATCCGATGGGTATCAATAAGCTCTTGAATAGCCGTTTTCAACTTCCAACATTTCTCGGTGTCATGCCCTGGAGCCCCTGAACAATATTCACAACTCACCGAGTGGTCAAGATTTCTCGGAGGGGGATTTGGCAGCTTAGGCTCAATCGGATTCAACATACCCAACTGTATCAACCTGTGGAATAGACTAGTATATGATTCTCCCAGTGGGGTGAAAGTCTTCTGCTTCTGCAACCTCTCATTCTTGAAGGCTTGATTTGGTCGGAAACCTGCTCCCGGGGGGATTTCTATAGGGCTCCTGGGGGGTGGATTAGGGTATTTTGTGGAGATGGGTAGGTATTCTGTGGGGTTGGCGCACGCCATTGTGTGTGGGTAGGGGGTTGAGTGTATGTCTGAGCGTGATGGACAGAGAAGTGGGGATCTGGCGGTGGGTAGTAGTGTTGTGGTGAGCTATATGGGGTGTGGGGGTAAGGCTGGTGGTGGGGTCGAGGCTGGTTATAGTAAGGTGATGCGCCCCCGGACCATGTTCTTGACTCAATTATCGCAACGTCCTCTTTCTTCTTCTTTCCCAATACACCCCACTGCCGTTTTGGATGGCCTGGGTGGTCGCCTTGATTGCTTAATAACTCATGATTTTGTTAGATTTGAGTCCTTCTTCTACCATGCTTCCCATTTTTACCACTTCATTGAAGGATTTCCCTACCGCTGACGCCAAGTGACCGAAATAAGTGGACTCTAAGGCCTGCAAGAAATAGACAACCATTTCACTCTCTTTCATCGGAGGCTTAACCCTTGCTGCTTGCTCTCTCCAACAAAAGCCATATTCTCTGAAACTCTCCCCAGGCTTCTTCTCAATCTTCGTCAATGACAGACGGTTTGGAACAATTTCAAGATTGTACTGAGGCAGGCAAATGCTTGGGCTAGATCGTCCNTTAAGGAAGGGTGAATTCTGACCGTTGATCTCGAGTGATCAATGGTCCAGATTTAAGTGGGTAGGTGGGGAACGGGTTGGGTCGTGGGTTGGGTCCAAATCGAAATTGGGCTGGTTTAATTGGGCATAATTGGGTCGATTAGGGGCTAAAATTGAAACAAAAATGGGGCTGTAATTGAAATGGAAATGGTGCTAGATGTTAAATAGCCAGTTTCACCCTTTTATTTATAAAAAATAGTAAAAATGATTTTAAAAACTAATTAAAAATACTGAAACAATTAATAATGTATAAACACTAATTTAAAAATACTGGACCCAATTTTATAATTATAAAATGCTACAATTAATGCTACAATAGGCTAAAATTGCAGTTGCATGTAATTTAGCTTGGAAAATGCCAAATGAATTTGTAAAAAATATACAAAAATCACCTTAAATATATTTTGATATATAAATATGAGAATAAAAAGGTTATTCACCAATATTTATAGTTTGGGGAATAATTACTAATTTTGTATCGCTAAAATGGGCAATAGATTCATTTTAAAAATCTTAAAAAGTTTGGAAAACTACCAAAACACTTAGGTATGCTTATGTATGCATATATATGCTATTTTGAAAGTATATAAAAATTATATATGAAAAAGTTGGGTATCAACAACTGCCCCTCTTTACCCGGGAAGGATGAAAGAGTTGTTGGGTAAAGACATGATGGCCAATTTTGACCGAATGAAACGGTTTGAAGAATTTTGACCGAGCCCTGGTTCTTGAGCTGCCTACATATCCCTGGTCTTACAGGAATCAGGCCATATGCAGTTCAGGGTCCGTCGATGGAACATGCCGATGGAGATTTTTTTTCAAGGGCGGACGAGATATTCAAGTTGGGGAGTATGGTCAGAATCCAACAGGCTGCGGAACTGGAGCGGGATTGCTCCTGCCGAGACGGCCGTTGTTAGCCGGTGTACCTGCAAATGAATAATACCAACATATATTATGCGTAAATTTTAACGTGATGTAAGTTCCCGTTGGACCATGAATGCTGTCTTTGGATGGTTAGGATGACGTCCTCGGACTATGGTGTCCTGGGTCATGAAACACATAATAAAGGATTCGCAGGCTATGAAATGATGCTCTCGGGCTATGAGAATGATGCCTCGAACCATGATGCCCTTGAGTAATGCGATGCAGAGATAAAACGTGGGGGTCCTCAGGCCATGGCATGACATTCTCGGGCTATGAAAATGGTGCCTCTGAACAATGACGCCTTTGGACAATTTGGCGATCTTTCAGCCCATGAAATACAGGATTTGGCGATCTTTCAGCCGATGAAAGACTTAAATAAAAATGGCGACCTTTCAGCCGATGCAGGATTTAAATGAAGCGGCGATATTTCAGCCGATGTAAAAATTAAATGAAGTGGCGATATTTCAGCCGATGCAAGACATAAATAAAAATGGCGATCTTTCAGCCGATGCAGGATTTAAATGAAATGGCGATCTTTCAGCCGTGAAATGCAGATGGAGGCAGAGCTTAACCTCGGAAGGCAGAATAGTAGCCTTATGCAATGCAGAAAATACAGATGGAGGTAGAGCTTAACCTCGGAAGGAAGAATAGTAGCCTTATACAGTGCAGAAAAATGTAGATGGAGACAGAGCTTAGCCTCGGAAGGAAGAATAGTAGCCTTATACAGTGCAGAAAAATGTAGATGGAGACAGAGCTTAGTCTCGGAAGGTAGAAACTAGCCTTGTGCAGTGCAGAAAAATGCAGATGGAGGTAGAGCTTAACCTCGGAAGGCAGAATAGTAGCCTTATGCAATACAGAGAATGTAGATGGAGACAGAGCTTAGTCTCGGAAGGCAGAAAGTAGCCTTATGCAGTGCAGAAAAATGCGAACATTAGTAAAATTTCTTAGCTGATGTCTTGATAGCTGATAGCTGATTGCGATATTATGGCTGCTGGGGATATCGGATAGTGGTTGTGAAGCGATAATTTCGGGAGTTGTATTCCTGAAAGTACGAGTGTGTAAATGGATTTGCTGATTTGTGACTTGGGTGCCTGCATCTAAAGAAAAATCGTGAGTTTTGTGAAGGGACCGGTTAGTTCGCATTCTCGCTGGCTTCGGTTGACTGGCTCGGATCTGTTTATGGTGATACTGTAGGTACCCTCGGGGCAGCGTTGTCAAACAAAGCGATTTCGATAATAGGCATGCATGAGTTTTGTTAAAAGTATGATATATGTATATATATTTAAAAAAACTTTAGATGAACCAACGACCGCGACGTGGTTCAAAACATTGCGATCTTTCTTGCTACGGAATTTTGAGGGTCCTCCTCAAAATTCTGCCCTAGTTTAGTAGGTTGCTGCTTCTGACGGTTGCTTGCGGTAAATGGCTGAAATTACTTCGGAATTTTGAGGGTCCTCCTCAAAATTCTGCCCCAGTTTCCAATTATGAGGGGAAATGAAAATTTATTGAATTATGACCGAACCCATAAGGCTGCCTACGTATCCCCTCTTAAACGGGAATCAGGTCACATGTAGTTCAAATTACATAAGGAAATCATAAATGGTTACACATAGTATCGCTTGACTGCATTTGAATTTATTGGTTTTGGCCAAACTTCTCCGTCCATTTCTGCAAGTATGAGGGCTCCTCCTGTTAGAACCCGATGAACCATGTATGGACCTTGCCAGTTAGGGCAGAACTTCCCTTTGGCTTCCTCTTGATGTGGAAAAATCTTCTTCAACACCAGCTGCCCAGGTGTAAATCGTCTTGGTCTGACTCTTTTGTTGAAGGCTCTGGTCATTCTGTTCTGGTAAAGTTGACCATGGCAAACCGCGTTCATTCTCTTTCCATCTATGAGAGCTAACTGTTCGTAACGACTCCTTACCCATTCTGCATCGTCGATTTCACCTTCCTGTATGATTCTTAGGGATGGGATTTCTACCTCGGCGGGGATGACCGCTTCCGTACCGTAAACCAGCATATAGGGAGTTGCACCAGTCGATGTGCGGACTGTGGTGCGATACCCTAACAAAGCAAATGAAAGCTTCTCATGCCACTGCTTATGCTTTTCTACCATCTTTCTCAATATCTTCTTGATGTTCTTATTGGCGGCTTCTACAGCTCCGTTCATCTGAGGTCTGTAGGCTGTGGAATTCTTGTGTTTGATCTTGAAGGTTTCGCACATGGCTTTCATCAAATCACTGTTGAGGTTGGAACCATTGTCAGTAATGACTGATTCTGGGATCCCGAATCGACAAATGATACGGTCACGGACAAAGTCTGCCATGACTTTCTTGGTCACTGCTCTGTAAGATGCTGCTTCAACCCATTTAGTAAAATAATCAATTGCTACTAGGATAAACCTGTTCCCATTTGATGCGGCAGGTTCGATTGGTCCGATAACATCCATTCCCCATGCGGCGAACGGCCATGGCGAGCTCGTTGCATTAAGCTTATTTGGAGGAACTTTTATCATGTCTGCATGGATCTAACAGCGGTGGCACTTTCGAACATACTGGAAGCAGTCCGTTTCCATAGTCATCCAGAAATAACCTGCCCGGAGTATCTTCTTGGCTAAGACAAAACCGTTCATATGTGGACCACAGGTCCCAGCATGAATTTCCTCTAGCAGTTTGGATGCTTCCTTTGCGTCAACACACCTTAGCAATCCCAAATCAGGAGTTCTCCTATATAGGATTCCTCTGCTGTGGAAGAAATTGTTGGACAATCTTCGCAGAGTGCGCTTCTGAATAGCATTTGCAAGCTCTGGATATTTTCCTTCGGCCAAAAATTCCTTGATGTCGTGAAACCAAGGCTTTCCGTCTGCTTCTTCCCAACATGAGCACAGTAAGTTGGATGATCATGAATCTTTACTGGAATAGGGTCTATGAAGTTCTTATCTAGATGCTCAATCATGGATGATAGAGTGGCCAATGCATCGGCAAACTCATTCTGGACTCTGGGAACATGCCGGAACTCTGTCTTTATGAACCTCTTTCTCAACTCCTGTACATGATGCAAATACGGGTGTATCTTGGAGTTCTTGGTCGCCCATTATTCTCGGACCTAATGTATAAGCAAATCTGAATCTCCAATCACTAGCAACTCTTGGACGTTCATGTCAATGGCCATCTTGAGCCCCAAGATGCAAGCTTCGTACTCGGCCATATTGTTGGTGCATGGGAACCTAAGCTTGGCGGATACCGGATAATGCTGGCCGGTTTCTGATACTAGGACTGCTCCTATGCCAACTCCCTTGAAATTTGCTGCTCCGTCGAAAAACATCCTCCAACCGTCATAGGATTCTGCAATGTCCTCTCCTATGAAGGATACCTCCTCATCAGGAAAATACGTCTTCAGAGGCTCGTATTCTCCATCCACAGGGTTTTTAGCGAGGTGATCCGCTAGTGCTTGTCCTTTGATTGCTTTC